TTGCCCTGCAGCAGCCTTCTTGGTGGTGTGACAGACTGTCTGGCCCAGTTTGCAGACCCCTGGTCTAGATGGGGAAGCCATGGGCAGCTGGACGAACTCTCCAAGGAAGCTTTTAGAAAGAGAAGGAGGTGTCGGGGAGTGGAGCGGGGGTGAGAGAAGGAGCTGTCAGGAGCAGCCCTGTGGGCACTGGCACCTGGAAAGGCGTCAGGGCCATTCACTGAATAAGAGAACAAGGTGAGTTAAGACACGGCCTGTGGGCAGGTGTAGTGCAGCCAGCTGGCCTCCGGGTTCCTCATAGCAGGGCCAGGCTGATACAGGAGCTGAGATGTTGTGGGAGCCTGGGGAGGGGCATCCGGCAGGTGGGAGGTTCCTGGAGGCCTCCCTGGAGGAGGAGGTGACCTCCAGGTGCACAGGTTGGGGGTAGTCAGGTGACAAGGATGGAAGTGATTCTGGGGTCTGCGGTGGGGCCTCCCAAGCAGTGACTGGTATTGTCCTAAGCACTGTGGGTGGAGACTCCCCAGGCTAGGGCTCGACAGTGGTGGGAAGACGTTGCGGGGACCTCGAACAGAGGGCCTCCCAGGGAGGTTTTAGGCAGGGGCCCGTCTGGGTCACATTTATCCAAGTTGACCTTGGCTGCTTGCACCCCTCCCCAGGACACCCGACTTGAATGGGGAGCAGGTGGATGTCCCCCTATCTGCTTCCTGGTGCTCACATGGACTGTGCCAGGGGCCCGACTGGGGGCCACAGAGCCTGCCAGGGTCGGCTTGAGCCCGAATGCTTCTGGAGGCGGTGGGCGAGGTTTGGATCCCAGCACTGCCCGCTACCAGCTGGAGCAGCTCGGCTTAGCCACCTGACCTCAGCCTTGCAGGTTTTGTCGGGAGAGTTGAGTTAGTGCTTTAAAGAGCGTAGCACAGTAGCTGGCGCCAAGGCGTTCCTAATATCAGTAACAGAATGGCCCTCCGTATCCCCACGCCTGGAATAAACTAGACCCCAGTGAGTCTTTGTGGGGTGCTTTCCTGATGGAACAGTTTTGAGAGACACAGAGCTCCCCTAGTGGCCATATAGGAAATTGCAGCCCTCCTGGCAATTCTCCCCGAACTGCCGGTGAGAATCGTCTTACAAGGGAACCCTCAAGAAAACATGTCCCCCAAAAAACTTTGGGGTGATAGATATGTTCATTATCTAGATTGTGGTGATGGGCTCCTGGTAGATACCTATGCCAAAACAACCAAATTGTATGCTTTGAATATGTGCAGTTGGTTATATGTCAGTTACATCTCAATAAAACTATAAAATTAAAGGAAGGAAGGCATCCCTCCCCGTAGGCCCGGGCCTATCCATGAGGATCACCGGAACAGAAGTGGTGCTGAATGATTGCATGATTAACTCTCCTGTATTTCTTCATCTATAAACTGGGCCCCCAACAACGGGGGCAAGACAGACTATAGTAAGTGCTAAATAAATACGCAGACAAGGTGATTACAGACATGACGGATGCTTTGAAGGAGATAAGCAGATGACGGGATGTTTAATGGGAGAAGGCCCTTTAGATAATGGTGCTTAGAGAAAGCCTGCGGTGGGCACTGGAATTGAAAAGCGAGAAGGAGCCAGCTGTGCAGTGGGGCAGCCAATGCGAAGGCCCTGTGGTGCACAGTTAGCACTTCCATGCACTAAATAGCGGGTCAGCGTGACAGGAGGGAGAGTGGTGGTGGCACCCAGCACTGTCATAGGCTCACTGAGCGTTGCGCGCACCCCAGGGGCTTTTGCATGTTCGCCTCCTTCAGTTCTTCGACAGATACTGCAGTTATGCACGTTTTCAGATGCAGTAACTTGACCGAGGTCGCACAGCAAGTACCTAGGCTTTCTTAGGAGCCGGTTCACCAGTTCATTTGGATGTGTTCTAAGGCCCACGGAAGCTGCTGGAGGGTTTTGAGAAGGAGGGACCCACGAATCAGATGTATGTTTTGGAAAGTGTGAGTTCGGAGGATGCGTTTTCGGGGGGCAGCCTTGGGACCTGGGAGATCAGCGATTGTGTCATGTCCGAGAGAAACGTCCAGGTCCGGGCTGGGGTCACTGCAGTGGGGCTGAAGAGGGGGATGGGTGCAGCATCTCATGCCGAGTGGAGGCTCTCAGAGTCCACGCCAGGCTGCCCCTTTGCTCTCCCACCTCTGCCCGTCCCGCTGACCCTGTCCTCTTCCTCCCCGTACAGGAAGGATGCCTCTGGCCCTCGGAGAGCACGGTGTCAGGCAGTGGAATCCCGGAGGTGAGACCCAGCGCCGCCTCCCCTCCACCACTACCCTCCCCCCGCCCACCCAAGGCTGCTGTAGTGGACGCCGAAGGCCCCCTACCCAGTAGCTCCCCTAATCCGGACCGGAGGCACCTCCCCTGCTAGTAGAGTGGCTACAGGAGGCCCACACCTGCCCTTCTCTGAAGAACCCTCCTTGGTTGCTGGCATCGTCCCTACCGGGACGTCATGCGCTCCCCACCCCCAGGGAGCAGCCCTCAGTATCTACGACACCGAAGGCCAAAGACTGCCCTCTTCCCACTGTGTGACAGTGTTCACGCTCCAGGGCTCGCCGGCCATCGGGGGGCTGGACCCTGGGCTTGGCTCCTCCCCCCGCCACCCGGCGGCCATCTCTCCCTTTCCCCAGAGAGCAGAGTCACAGGGGCCCTGCCGCTGGGGGGACACTCACTCTGCTCTTCCCCTCCAGCCGCAGGTCTACGCCCCGCCCCGGCCCACCGACCGCCTGGCCGTGCCCGCCTTCGCCCAGCGGGACCGCTTCCACCGCTTCCAGCCCACCTACCCATACCTGCAGCACGAGATCGACCTGCCGCCCACCATCTCGCTGTCGGATGGGGAGGAGCCCCCGCCCTACCAGGGCCCCTGCACGCTCCAGCTGCGGGACCCCGAGCAGCAGCTGGAGCTGAACCGGGAGTCGGTGCGCGCGCCCCCAAACAGAACCATCTTCGACAGCGACCTGATGGACAGCGCCATGCTGGGCGGCCCCTGCCCTCCCAGCAGTAACTCGGGCATCAGCGCCACGTGCTACGGGGGCGGTGGGCGCATGGAGGGGCCGCCCCCCACCTACAGCGAGGTCATCGGCCACTACCCCGGGGCCTCCACCTTCCAGCACCAGCAGAGCAGCGGGCCGGCCTCCTTGCTGGAGGGGACCCGGCTGCACCCCGCACACATCGCCCCCCTGGAGAGCACAGCGGCCTGGAGCAAAGAGAAGGATAAACAGAAGGGACACCCCCTCTAGGAGTCCCGGGGGGCCAGGGCCGGGGCCGCAGTAGGTAAAACAGCAAAACACTCCGCACTTCTTGAAAGAAAAGAGAGAGGAGGACGGGGCGACACACAGGAAACTGCGACGCATGACCATCCTCTCCCCACCTCTCTGTGTATAAATATTTACATGTTCTGTCTGGTCTGAATGCACAAAGCTAAGAAGACTTGCAAAAAAAAACCATGTTTCTCTGTTGAGCTGCGTCTTGAAGGCAAAAGAGGAAACAAAATTCTACGCTAGTCCTTCCTGTTTCTAGTTGAGCTGCGTGCGTGAATGCCTACTTTCTTCTGTTTGTTTATGATGATTTAACTTTAAAGACATATTTGCACAAAACCTTTGTTTAAAGATCTGCAATATTATATAAATATAAATATATATAAAATAAGAGAAACTGTATGTGCGAGGGCAGGAGTATTTTTGTATTAGAAGAGGCCTATTACAAAAAAAAAAAAGTTGTTTTCTGAGCTAGAAGAGAAAAAAAATGGCCATTTTTGAGTGCCAACTCAGAAAGTGTGTATTACCTTGTAAAGAAGAAAACTACAAAGCAGGGGTTTAGAGTTATTTATATAAATGTTGAGCTTTTGCACTATTTTTTAATATAAATATGTCAGTGCTTGTTTGATGGAAACTTCTATCAACGTCTGTCGAGACTTTTAAGGGAGAAATGTTGGAATTTCACGGTGGACGTCAGGCAGAGGGTGGGCTCCACGCTGAGTCTGGAGAGAGGCTCCCAGAGGGGCTGATTTCCTGCAGAGTGGAAGCTTCTGTCTAGTGATAGGTTATTACCTCGTTATACATTCCCTCCCGAAGGAGACGCATTTTTTCCCCTCTGGGCCAGGACAGCCTTTGGATCGCAAAGAAAATAGGAAAGTTACTCGAGGCCCCAAGTTCCAGGAGGTGGGCTTTGCTCTTCCCAAAATGAAGATAAACTGTTACTGAAGGAATCTTAGCATTTTCTCCTCTTTTCTGAACCACAAAGGTCCCTGTAGGAAGGGGCTCGCTAAGGTGCTCTCTGCCCCCTGCCTGCCTTGCCAGGGCCACGCCAGAGGCGGTTAGGTGGCTCGCGCGTGCAGGATGCTTTGGTGATTCAGCTGGCTCCAGACTCTACCGGCTGAGGTGGGTGCAGCCCACTGGCGTATAGGAAAGGCCCAAAGGACTAGCAATGTGACCTCATCCCCGTCTTTATGTATTGATTCTCACGTAACAGGCCCATAACCAGAAGACCAGAGATGAAAAAGTGACACGCCCAGGTTTCTCCCAGGACACTGCAAAAGGGTTATAACGAGAAAGACAGTCCAACCAACGCGAACTCGAGCTTTAGGATGTAGAAGCAGAATTCTTTCCCTTCTCCTCTCTTTCACATTTCATTCCCTTCCCCGTGGAAACCATCGTTTTTGATGTGTTTGTGTATCTGTGTTTTCATAAGCGTCTTCATCAGACACAACCCTTGTTCACCAGGGTTTTACTGAGTAGACGTCGGCGGGACCCCTTGCTGGTGGCGTGCGTGTGTGCACGTAGAGAAGGCGGGGAGAGAGTGGAGTCGGGGTCCTCCCTCCCACCAAGGGTGGGCTAATAATCCATGGGGTGACGCCCTTAGCAGGAGAGCAGGCCACCCTGCCCCCTGCCCCCTGCATCCCACGGAGGTGTCTTTTCATCTTCGGCAGGATGCCAACTAGCCGGTTAACATAAGAGAAAGGTATAAGAGGCAATAAGTATTGATTTTAAACAACTTTTTTATTACTTGAAAAACAAAAACTCGAGAACAGTTTTGAAGTTCTGACCATTTGAACTCTATTTCTATACGTACCTTTTAAGACCACGGTGACCAATAGATGACCGAGGTGTCTGAGTGCCCGCTCACCAGCCTGGCAGAAAGTTCTGGTACCTTGACAATAAAACCTGCCTCTCCGTGGGGTCTTCAGCCTAACCTTTGCCTAACCTTTGCTTCTCTCTCAAAGATTCTTTGAAAAGGTCATTCATGCAGAGACATCCATAGTTTGTCCTGAAAGGTACAGGGACACATTTATAGATAAAGTTTAAAAAAAAAAAAAAAAAAATCGTTCCTTTATGTGAAACGTCTCCCTAGTGCCTTACTGAGAAAGCGGTTGACCCCTTTTGTCCCCCGGCAGCGGCGTTCCTGGACAATGCCCTGCTCACCCTGGCCCGGCCTTCCCGCTCGAGGTGGACAGAGGGCTACTGCTTCTTTAAAAACATCCCCATCGCCTCGTGCTGTGTCCCACCCACCCGCCCTCCACCCTGGATGTGCCTCCCTTGGGTCAGGCCACCCCTCCTGCCCCTCCAGCCTCTTGTCAGTACTCGTTTATCTCCCACCTGGGTCACAAACCTAGTCGTGGACCTTGTTTGTGTGAGTAGCGTAGCAGCAGACGAGAGCCAGGCCGAAGTGTTCCCGAGGTCCTCGAACCAAACCTTGAATCTCGTTGCTGGGTGGTGCGGTCTGCCGTTGCCGTATGAGCAGCGAGGTAGAAGAAGGAAGCAGATGAGGGGGTTACTGACCTCAGCTGGCTTGAGGGCAGAGCACCCTCCCCACGCCCCCGTTATGCCCCAGGATGGCAGTCCAGGCCTCAAGGCCGCCACACTGTCCCTGGGCTCCATGCCTAGCGGATGACAGTTGCAGAAGTTCATGGTGGAGCCGCTCATCAAGGCCAGGGCACCTCCCAAGAAAACCACGGGGTGTGTTTCTGCAGAGCTCTTGGTTTCTCTGCTGGACCCAGAGCCCTGAGGGTACACTCCTTCCACTAGGTGTTGGCTGTCGTGTCCTTACCTTCGAAAAGCCTTCTTTGCGCATCCCTCGGGAGGCCCCCTTTTTTCAGTAGAAAGTTGGTGGTGCGGGGGGGGGGGGGGGGCTTTTGGGGGGGGGGGGGGGGGGGGGGGGGGGGGGGGTGGCCCTTGGCAGTGGCTGGTTGGAGGGGGACCAGGCTGGGCTCAGAGAAGGTGGCAGAGCTTGGCTTTCTCTAAGCCTCTCATTGTCCCCCTGCTTGTCAATCATCACATTTCCTCCGGAGGAAAACCCTTTCCCCCGCCAAGCCCAGGTCTACACAGACGGACTTAGCAAAGTGCCCTAAGAGCCGTCCACGTCCCCGTGTTTTTGCCAGGAGCTGAGAGCGACGCCTCCCCACGGCTAGCAAACACCGGGGCGAGGCGAGGACCGAACCCTTCCCAGTCCTTTTCTGTCTGCTCTGTGAATTGTACTCTTCAGAGAATTTTCTTTTCTACATGCAACACCAAGCTTCCAGATCCATAGAACATGCTGATGACAAAGGAGAGAAAATGTTCCGTTTTGTTTGGTTTTCCGGAAACTGCGCTTCAAATTCTGCTGTACTATAGAGCTCAGAAGGACCTGCTGCGTTCTCATTTGCCTGCCTGGTTCCATGGTGGTTGTGCTGATGGTGACGCTTTCACGTTGCTCCCCTGGCGTTGGAACCACTCTCTTTCGCAGCCCTGTTGCCCAAGTTGTGTCCAAGTTACACGTATGTAAACTCTCCGTGGCACGCTGGGTGCGGCGCCCGCGTTGCTGCTGCTAAGACTCTGTATTTGGATGCCAATCCACAGGCCTGATGAAATCGCTTGTTGTGTATCAATAATCATTAGTGGCAATGATGACATTCTGAAAAGCTGCAATACTTATACAATAAATTTTACAATTCTTTGGAACGAGGCTCTTTCTCTTTCTTGGGCTGCATTGCTTTCCCCTTACCACCCCACCGCCCTCAGCACCAACACTTGGATGCCTTTAGTGGGAAGGAAGCAATCCCTCGGAGCTGCTGTGTGGCCTTGAGCAATTCCATCAACCTCTCTGTTTTAATTCAGGCAGCGTTCAAGGAGCCCAGTGAAAACACTTGCACGGGCAGGGGGTGCGTTGGGTGACATTGGGGTAAAAGAGTTTGCAAAATATTGCGTACTTTTCCCCCCTCTTGGGATATCATCCACCGTGGCATGATGAAAGCTCTGGTAAGGGCTGCGAGAAAGAAACTGTCTTAAATGGGGCTCTTCCAGAGACGTGGACTTGTGTGAAGGGATGTATCAAAGTTCTGCTCCCAGGGGAGACAGTGAAGGGAGCTGGGAAAAGGATAGAGGGAGGAGAAGTGCGAGGGGGACTGTTTTAGGCCAAGTCCCAGCCTCAGGCTGATCCGCAGGGAGTCTGGGAAGCTCTGGGATGCAGATTGCACCCGGGAGAGGCAGGCTCTCAGATGCTCCTGGCTCTTCCTGCCTGAGAGTGGGGCAGAGAGGAGTCCCCCAGGCCCCAGGGTGGCCCTCTGGAAACATCCCCAGATGCCAGCCCTTAGCAGCGACCCACATGGAAGCAGGGAACGGGATCCCGAGGGTCTGGGTGGGACACTCACAGTGCCCACTACAGAAATTCTTGTTTATTTCTCTAAATTGAACCATTTTTCATGTCTGATCAAGGATTTTTTTTTTTTTTTTTTCAAGTCAGCCAAAACAGAGCTGATCCCCAGGGATGAACACTGTTTGGCCTCATTCCGGGTCTTGTAATCTTCTGGGCCACAGAGCCCTGTGATTGGGGCAGAACCGGACACACGTCTGTCTGCCTTACCTGTTTCCCTCTCTGGTGAAAAGATTGCAGAGAATTGGGGAGACGCCAAAAGAGCGCATTGCTCTTGGCTGGTGAGAGCAGGGACCGTGGTGCTCTGCCCTGGCCTGGCTCCAGAACCCGAGTGCCTCTCACTGGCGGTCACTCCCCTTGCTGACCCTCAGTCACCTGGTCTGTAGAATGGGTTGACAGCAGTGCCTGTGAGGCGGTGTCTGATTCAATAACGCCAAAGGGCGCCTGGCAGACACAAGTATTAGCCACTCTCCTTAGTAACAGGCTCCCTGGGACAGTTTCCATATAACTGAATGTCCCTCGAAGATTCTGGATGAGTTTGCATGCCCTGGGCTGAGCACACAGACACCACCACCTCCCCAGGTGGTGGGGTCGGTCAGAACAGAGCTTTTCCCCGCTGGAGAGGGGAGTTGCGGTTCTAACCGAAAAGCTGACACCCCTGCCCCACTCTGAGTTTAGCTCAAGCAGAAATCGCCATATGGGTCCAGACTAACAACTGACATCGCTACGGCTCATACTTACTGAGCATCTACTAGGTTCCAAGCACAATGCCAAATTCTGAGTGAAGGTGGCATCTCCTTTCGGGAGGCCTCACTTTGCACTCACTCCCCCCACGTTTTCTGAGCCCTGCTGAGGGATGCTGGCGCATCAGACCCAACCCTGACCTCAAAGAACTCACCTTCTGGTTCTAGAGACAGACTCGCACCTGGGACCACAGCCCAGTATGGTGAGGGCAAGGAGAGTGTGCTGTCAGGAGCTGGGAGAGGTTTGTGAAGGCTGGATTTGGAGCTCAAGGATGTGAGGAAGGAAGACGAGGACAGCAGAGACCGAACCAGGCGCTTGCGTGAGCAGAGGCCGCGAGGGCACTCGGCAGGGCACCTGAGCAGCCTGGCAAAACCATGCCCTGGAGGGGAGGCTGAGCCCCTGGCTGGGTGGGAGTGGGGGCACGGAGAAGCCCAGCGCGGTTAGAAACACCAGGAAGATAATCATGTGACCAAGAGAAGGGCGTAAGTTTCCTTTAGAGCCGATCTGATAAGCAGGTATTTCACATCCTCTGTACGCCCGTGCCAGGGACACAGGATGACAGGAAAGACCCCGTCCTCCCTCCGCAGCCTCCAGGCTGGTGTGAGCTGCAGGTGATGGGAAGAGCCCCTGACTGGTCTCCCGCAGGTCTGACATTGAGATGGAGTAGCGGGGGGCAGCCTTAGGTAGCTCTTTGTGAGGCCAGGACCGCAGCAGTTACCTAAAAATCAACAGGCCAACTGGTCTCCCCCATCACCCACCATCCCCATCACCCAGAGCCAGTGCCTTCTCTACTCTCCTATGACCCATGGACCAAATCCCCAGCTGTCTGGTTTTGTAAATAAAGTTTTATTGGCACAGAGCCCCACCAGCTTAGTTACACATCGTCTGTGGCTGCTTTTGTGCAACAACGATAAACTTGAGTAGTTGCGACAGAGACCAAATGGTCCACAAAGCCTAAAATATTTACTATTTGGCCCATTACAGAAAAGTTTTCTGATCTCTGCTTTAGAACCCCACGTGGCTGCAAGATGGCTGCTGCAGCTCCAGGCATTACAATCAAAGATAAAAAAGAATCCCATTCTTCTTTGTATCTTTTTTTAAAAAAAAATACCTTAAAAAATAAGCTTTATTTTTAGAACACTTTTATGTTTATGGAAAAATTGAGAAAATAGTGGGCTTTCCATACACCCAGTTTCACCCATTATTAACATCTTATACCAGTGTGATATGTTTGTTACAATTAATTAATCAATGTTGATATATTATCATTAACTAAAGTCTAAACTTTATTCAGATTTCCTTAGCTTTTCCCTAACATCTTTTTCCTGGTCCAGGACCCCACCCAGGACACCACATGACATTTAGTCATCACAACTCCTGAGGCTTCTCTGGGCTCTGACAGTTCCTCAGACTTTCCTTGTTTTTGATGACCTTGAGAGTTGGGAGTCCTGGTCAGGTATTTATTTTGTAGGATTATTTTGTAGGATGTCTCTGTATTGGAATTTGTCTGAGGTTTTTCTCGTAGTTTAGACTGGGGTGATGGGTTTGGGGGAGGAAGAACCCAGAGGAACTCATCACATCCTATCAAGGGTCATACATTTCCAAAGATACTTAGGTCAGCACCCTTTCCCCCAACCCCTTTCCCTGAGGCAGTGACACATGTTTGTAAGACAGTTACAGTGTCTTGTCACATTCTGCCTTCCATCCAGGGATCCTCTGACCTCCTAAATGTTTTTTAATTTACATACACCAAGGTTCATCCCTTGTGTTGTGAAGTTTTGACAAATGCATAGTGTCATGTATCCACCATTACAGTATCATACACAAGAGATTCACTGTCCTGAAAAACTCCCCTGGGCTTCACCTGTTCCACCTCCCCTCCCTTCAAGGTCCTGCAAACATGGATTGTTTTACCAACCTGAGTCCTGTTTTCTTCCGGGAAACAGGCCTGGGAGGTGAGTCCTGCCCCATGGTTCCTGCTGAGAGGCCCACTGAGATCAGCAGGACACTGTCCCTTATAGTCTGTAACAGGCAGGGATGTGGTTGTTTTTTTGTTTTGTGTTTTTTTATTGTGTGTATTTTACATTCTTATCAAAGTAAAACAGCAAGTCCAAAGCAACAGCCTCCTGCCCCATCTTTTCCAAACCCACAGCCCAGTCCTTGGAGGCAACAACCGTTCTTATACCTCTTCCTTCTGAGAATGACTACTTCATCTCCAAAACAATAATCTTCTACCTCTAGCTTGCGGTTTCCCCAAGTCAAGACGTTACTTACTGACTTCCTGCTTTGACAGACAAATATTTAGCACATTGACACGCCTCCCTACTTCCCAATAAAGAAATGTTCTTACTTGGGTTCCTTTTATGATTGTCTTTATGACTTCAAGTACTGTTATCCACACCTCTGTTTTGTGTTCCTTCTATGGGGACACTGTTTCTGGACTCCCCACCTGGCAAGTTGAGGAGACTGTACCCCTTGCCTGACTGGCCTTCAGATCACCCCCTCTTCCCAACCTCCTTTCACTTCCTTTCTACCTGTGTTCTCTCCATTTTTACTTCCAACTTATCAAGATGAGTGACATTTCTATTCTGCCCGTAGCATAATTCAGTCCTCTGTGCTTTCTCTGTGAGTTGATCCTAAAACTGAAATTCAGTAAATGCCATTTACATTGTTGTGACTATGTGGATATTGTTCATTGCATGCAAAGTCCCATTCAATATAAAGAACTGAGTTTTGATATTATTTTTTATTA